GCCCAGGCCCAAAGTTCAAGCCCCACGACCGACAAAAAAAAAAAGGGGGGGGTACACTATTCTTCAGAAGGGAGTTTTTCCAGACTGCCATTGTGATTTGCTCCCAAATCATTCCCTCTTTAACCCTATTTATTTAGTCAGCAAGGAGCATAATGTTAGGACAATCGCTTTATCATCCAGGCTACTTGGGAAGTGGAAGACTCAATCAGTAGAGTAAGTACTTACTGCCGAGTAAGTACTGTTATTAAAAAAAAAAACAGACAGGCACCAGTGGCTCACGCCTATAATCCTAGCTACTCAGAAGGCTGAGATCTGAGGATCACTGACCATCTTTATGCATACCAACAAGTTTGAAATTGAGGCCCTTCTCTTATTTTCCCTTTATCAAAGAAAGAAGATTGGGGTAAGGAGAGCCTAGGAAACACCTTCTTTGCTGATCTGTCCCCTGTGTTTCCAAAAGGCAAGAGCCCTTCTGCTTCTAATGCATTTGCCCTGCTGCTAGTCTAGAGCAATTTGGATCTTTTGGTAGATGAATGGACCCACAGAGCATGGCCACCCATTGGAGCCTCTCTCCAGATCTTCTCCACTGCCCTCTGGTTAGAAGGTCGCTGCTGGGCTGCTCTGTGACGGCCATGGTGCCGACCATGCTGACTCTCGCCTGTGCAACTCCTATTTCTCTCTCCTTTCAGAGAATGGCATTGATCCGGAAAACAACCAAGAAATAACACACGGAAAAGTCAGGAAATGGACAACAATGTATTTGGAGATACTTGAGCTGAGACCTCAGCCATCTCATCCTTGGAATTTTTTTTTAAATGCTTTACAGAGAAGCATATATTTTTTATTAACAGTGCAGCAATATCTATAATGACTGAGATGATCTGCCAAAAGAATAAAGCCTCCTCCCCTCTTCCGGGTCCTTCTCCCTGCCGTCTCTAAGAGGAGCAGTGTATCTTCCAGAGAAGATTTTATTTGTGGCTTATTATTATTAGTAATTGAGTATGGGACAAAGCATTTTGGTCTTGTTGGGTGAGACAGTATTAGCAGGATTTGTAGAGGGTTTTGTTTCTTCCTCCATCCCCTATTCCCTGTACTTTGTAATGTCAGTGTTTATATGAATATGAATTTGATTTGCTTTTCCAGAATAAAGAAGTTATTAATTGAAAGACAGGGTGCATGGCTTGCAGCCTTTGGAATGCCAGAGGGAGTTAGGACCAGCAGGGCTGCACCGAGTTTTGCCATCAGTAGGTGGCAGCACTGGCATTGACTTTTACATTTGAGAAACACTCAGGGATTTTTTTTGTTTTCCATTGTTTATAAGGTGAGGCCCCCCAGCAGTAGAAGTTTGTTTCTCTGCCCTCAGGCAGGGTAAACTCTCAGAAGCCCCAGACTATATATAGGCAACCTGGTTTGGGCAATGGCAACGTGACTCAGAGCCCTTTTTGACCTCCGCTGGAACTCCTACAGAAAGTTGTGTTTATCTTTGGAGTAGCTTTGGAGAAATGCTGGTCTGCCCTTAGCTGTCCGTATCCCCCATCCAGAGAAACCAGGCCCCACCCCAGACCTCGGGGCTATGCATTTGCACAGCCATCCTGACCTTGTGGATTGTGTGGTTTTCCTGGGCTTCAGGGAGGGTGCTGCTCTGCTCAGAGGCAAGCACAAGTGCACCCACCTCGCCCTGCTTTGCTCTTCTGCCTCCTGAGGCTTCACTCACATAACACCCTGCTTTTCACCCCCTCACAGCCCCTAGATCTTTAGGGTGAGCAGATCATAGGCTGTGCTGATGCCTGCTTGATGTTCTTGGCTGAGGTCTCAATACAGTGAGCCTACAAGGGGGCACCCTGCTCCCCTTCTTGCCCCTATCACCTGAGGCTCAAGTGGCCCACAAGGGAAAGAGGATGTTGAAGGCTTTTAGCTTTCTCTAGAACTGCCAGCTGCCTATGGGCAATGCCTCAGCGGATGTTGTGTTGTGATACTAAGCAAACAGCAGGAGGCTCTAGCTGAGCCGTGACAGCAGAAGCGGGTTGCTGGCCACTGCAGCTAAGAAGGAATTTGGATTTTTTGGAATCTTGCATTGAGAACAGAGGAGGCCAGGGACTTAGAGAGGTTTAATGGAAAGAACTGGGTAGTGAGAAGTCTGTGATAATGGATGAGTTGTGGGACAGGTAAGTGGCTTCCTGTAGCGCAGTCTTATCCCAATTGTACGTTAAAGGGCTTCTCCATTCACGTAGTAAGTCTATAAGCTGTGCCTAGGCCTGTGCTAGGCAGAATACTACAATGATAAATAAAAGCAGACAGAAGGAGGAATCCTGCCATTGGAGAAGCAAATAAGAACTGCAAAGGAGAGGGTCACAGGGCTAGGGGAGACTGGGCAGGTGAGGAGGAATGCCACTTGAACAGAGACTTGAGGCTGAAGGAGTAGAGTCCTCGGTCCAGGAGAAGGAATTGTGCAAGCTCTGAGGTAATGTAGGCAAGTCAGTTGGGCTAAGTTATGCAGTGCCTTGCAGAGCCCAGCAAGGAGTGCTCATTGTTCAGAAGTAACGAGCATTTTAAGCTAAGGATGGTATGTGCAAAGGTCCAGAGGCCTGAAGATGCCAATGTGTCAACAGCAAGAGGCATTGCTTGTGCCAGTGATAGAGCCTGTTCTTCGTAGCATGAGCAAAGCCCCAAAGTTCAATCCCAGCACTAAAAAGAACTAAGTCAGTAAATGAATGTGGCTAAAGCACAGGGTGCAGGATCAGGAGGAAGTGGCTAGAGCTGAGCAGAAAGGGAGCTTAGAGGTGGACAGGACCTCAGGCTTCATGGTATGGCTTCATCCTGGCTTCCTGTGGATGCTGGGGCCCCCAGTAAAGGGCCCATGCTCAGTCTGTGTGTGTTGTAGAGAATGGGAGGGCTTCATGAGGCGGCCCGCAGACTGGCTGAGTCTCCTGGACCACAACTTTTAACTGTTGGCCTCTGAGAAGAGTCCACCAGCAAAAGGATTATGACCCTTTCTGCCTCTACCGCCACCATGGTGCTCATGAAGACGCTTGTGGTAAAGGGGACATTCTGAAGTTCATCCTTGACTGCGGCCACCCTGCGAAAGCCGGAATTGTGGACGCCTCCAGTTTCCATAAGAGCAGCATCTCCAAGCGGAAGTGACTGGATGGATAAGTGGGGATGGTGGAAGGGCTGAAACCATCTGAAGGAGCAACAAGACCGCCATGATGTGTGAGGGACCCTTTTCTAGAAGGTATTTGAAATGGCTCACTGGAACAAGAAGAAAGGGACGGGGGTGTGATAGTGCCTACCTAGCAAGTGCGAGGCCCTGAGTTCAAACTCTACTACAGCCACGAAACAAACAAATATATACATATACGTATGTATATGAAGAATAATGTATGTAGCCAGCTGCCGGTGGCTCACGCCTATAATCCTAGCTCCTCAGGAGACTGAGATCTGAGGTCAGGGTTTGAATAATAATAAAAGCCCAGTGTCCCTCTGCTCAAGGCAATCAATAACAGCTCTGGCGTTTTTATGGTGGTGGTGGTGGCACTAGGGGTTGAACTCGGGGCCTGGGGCACTACCCTTTAACTTTTTTTGCTCAAGACTAGCACTCTACAGCTCCACTTCTGACTTTCTGGTCTCACGGACTTTCCTGCCTGGTCTGGCTTCAATATGTGTGCTGTCCATTCAGATCCTTCCCGGCCTCCTAGATGGAGATCAGGTCCCTGGGCTGGAGGTGGGACCCTGGGAAGCCTGAGGTGGAAACCACACCTGCTCCCACGCCCAGACTCATCCCAGCCAGAGGACTTTCCAAACCAGGCTCATGCCAGAATCCCCCAACTCCTTGCCAATGAAGCAGAAACCCAGTGTTGAGTAGCTCAGCATCCAAGTCCAGTGATGCTGCCAGAAATGGCCACGTGGCAATCAAGAAAGGAAATAGTAGAGATGCCAGATCTACCATTTGGCTCTCACTGACGGACTCTGGGTGACCACAATCTGTTTATTATCTCTTTTTTCTTTTTTTCTCCAGTTGTGGGGCTTGAACTCAGGGCCCCGATGCTGTCTCTCAGCTCTTCAGCTCAAGGTGAGAACTCAGCCACTTGAGCCGCAGTGCTACTTTTGGTTTTCTGTTGGTTTATTGGAGATAAGAGTCTCACAGACTTTCCTACCCAGGCTGGCTTTGAACCTTGATTCTAAGATCTTAGCCTATTAGTAGCTAGGATTACAGGCTTGACCCACTGACACCCAGCTTATTATCTCATTCTTGGCTACAACTTCCCTGTATGCTGGAGTCTTTTTTAAATTTGTTTTTAATTTGGGCAATACAGGGTTTGAACTCAGGACCTCCAGCTTGCCAGAAAAGTGCCCCCCCCCTTTTTTTTTTGGTCAGTCATGGGGCTTGAACTCTGGGCTTGGGCGCTATCGCTGCGCTTTTCAGCCCAAGGTGAGCACTCTACTGCTTGAGCCACAGCACCACTTCTGGTTTTCTAGTGGTTTATTAGAGATAAGATTCTCAGGGGCCAGCCATTGATGGCTCACACCTGTAATCCTAGCTACTCAGGAGGCTGAGATCTGAGGATTGCAGTTCAAAGCCAGCCCATGCAGGAAAGTTCATGAAGCTTTTATCTCCAATTAACCACAAGAAGAACAGAAGTGGTGCTATGGCTTAAGTGGTAGAGTGCTCACCTTGAGCTAAAGAGCTGAGGGACAGCGCCCAGGCCCAGAGTTCAAGCCCCACGACGGACCAAAAAAAAAAAAAAGTCTCACGGACTTTTCTGCCTGGGCTGGCTTTGAACTGTGATCCTCAGATCTCAGCTCCTGAGTAGTTAGGGTTAATCTCAGCCTCCTAAGTAGCTAGGATTACAGGTACCCGGCCACAAAGGTGCTCTTGAGTGATACTCTGGAACCCTAAGCTCTTTTTGCTTTTGCTGTTATTTTTCAGAGAGGGTCTCACTTTTTAAAAAATTGTTTTTAAAAACCATGGCTGGCCTAGACTGTAATCCTCTTTGTACCTCCCTTTATTGCTGGGATGACATTTAATTAATTAATTAATTAATTTTTGGGTC